ATTCATCGTGCTCTCTTTTTCGTTCTGCTCGCTCGGGCAGGTGTTGGCTCCTGATGGATATATATCACGAAAGGGAAGGAGAGGTGATGAAAGCATAATAGACGGAAATTTTTTAGTACCGAGACGAGGGCACACGCTTTATTTCTCTTTATAAACTTCATATGTCACGCAAGGAACTTGCATTGTCCTCGGTCGCACGAACCACTGATGAGCGATGGGGTCATCCAGCTTGTTATGTTCGCCAATCATAACATGTTACTCCGTCGAATTGCTGCAGGGAGATGGAATATTCACGTGTCACGGTGCGAACACATATGTTCACCCTTAATCACCTTTCTTTACCTCTCCTTCAGAAATCCCATCACGAACTGTGCGATACATCGCTGGGAAACCCTCATTGACCCAGCGACAGAATAAGAATTGCAAGGCACCCGTGAGTGCAATTTTTATTCTGCATACAGGGGTTCCCAGGGTTCTTTAGCATGTTGGATCAAATGGTTTTCGTCACGAATGGCTCCCCCCCTATACATGCGTTGACTCGTTCTTTGCTTTACATGATAATCTCCGGATTTAGGTCAAAAGAATGAAGGGGTCAAGTCAGGTCACAGATGAACCCAAGACAAGCATGTTCCTGACTTCATGTGACCTAACATGCAGCTCTCAAATTCGCCTGGCTTCGACCCGTAGGATCATCACATAAGGAAAGGGAAGAGTCAACATGTGTAAATAGAGGCCATTCGTGACGAAATCCACCTCATCAAGCGTGTTAAATAAGCTCGGGAGCTCCCGAATCATCCCGAAGTAAATACAGCTATTGATCAGATCAGAAGGTGAGTTATGATATGCATCGATTATGACAGAGGCTACTCTGAAAATTTGCTATTTGCTAAGTATGGGAAATTTGGCTCCAACTAAATTAAACCCTATGATAATTAGTATTGCTATTCATGTTGTTGAGCTGTATTACATTTTTATTTCATGCAGCAGTGTAGGATACTTTATTATTTGTGGTGATGTATAATCTTTTATTTTTAATTTTTACCACCCTTCGGTATGGTAGTTCTTCACCTCGATTTCATCTTTCAATGATCCATAGAAGCCTCTTGGAGAGAGCCAGAACATGTATGTCCTATGCTGAGTTCTGCGACGTCATTCTAAATTCCCGTGGAATGTATTTGAGGCCTAGAAGAGTTAGGCTTCCATACTCTTTGTATGAATAGAAAACATGCCCAAGTGAGTGTCCAGTTAGTTAGTTAGTCCAGTTAGTGAAAGGAAAGTTTTAATATGTAAGCTCTGCAAATCACTGCATGTGACCGAAGCCATGGACTGTTGTGGCGAACGAATAGTTTGCATTTCGGGAGCTAAATCCATTCGTGGGGAAAATTCCGGTACGCCAAGTCGTTTCATTTTGTTCTTCCCTTGGAAGCACGACTCATGGTTCTTATTCTTTCTCTCGCTTGCGTATCCCTTAATACAGTATCAGGGGTGTGCAACCTTTATTGGTAGTGGGCCGCATGGAAATGTCTGACACTTGACGCATCAAAGACAGTGCGAGATGCGACTGTGGTCACGACCAGCAAACCGTGGATCACATTGTCAGCAACTGTTGCATCTTCGCCTTCAGTAGTGGAGCCACCCAAGTCCACTCCGCCTCTCCTGAAGCAATCGAGTGGATTAAAAACCTCAAAATACACCTGTAACAAAAAAGAAGCTGCTCCATCTCTCCATACGAAAGAAGAAGACTCTTCACGCGGGCCATAGAATGCAAAAGAAAAGACTCCCCTCTTTTGCCCTCAGAGCATGCGACGGCATAAGGTCACTCTGATTGGCCAGTGACTCTTACCCCCACCCCACCTCTAGGAAAGACCAACGCCCAAAATTAGCCTTTGGCATCGAGAACCTTCTTCCTCGAGACATACGTAGCGCCCCGCGTGAGGAATAATTAGGGCAAGAAAATGAAAGGACTCAGTCTATCTCTAGTTTAGTTACTAAGGGATGACCAAAGTCGTGATGGGCCTTGGATCGCAAAGAAGCTTATTTCATCTGTTATCCCATTATGCATTACCGGGCAACAAGAAGCAGGTCCACGGGCCACATGCGGCCCGCGGATTGCATAGCTCTGTATTAGATTCTCTCAAAATTGCAAGATAGCATCAACTTGTTTCTTTTTTTCCAGGGGATATTCTGGGGAGCCCCTACGCTGCAAGAGGCCCGGGTCGTTTGGAAGGCCGATTTGGATCTGGATGTACACAGGGATGACGTCGTTTTCAAGTTAGTCCTATATCCTAATTTCTTGTTTCATGTTCCTCCTTTTTTTTGCTTTGCCAATCTATCTCACTTGATTTCACCGAAATTGTTCCAGAAAAGTACTTGTACTTCTTTGTACTCTTTGTTCTTTGCATGCTGTATGACGTAACCTGACACCTCCTAGGATTGCAAAAGAAGACCAAAAGAAATGGGGTGTTTCGGTTATTAGAATACCAAAAGTACTAGAATATGACAGCAGTTATTTAAGTAAAAGAGGAGGGTTGGGTGGGGGAAGGAGGGAGTGTGGAGAACCCGCATTACTTGCGTCTTCACTCCAATGACTGGTACCCTCCAACCACATTACTATTTCTTTCGTTCCGGATACCGTGTTTCATGATAATTTCCGTCATGGTCAGGAAAGGGTCCAGGTGATGTAACATTGTCTGAGTAGTATTTGTCGCTGGGTCGGTGGAAAGGGGATGGGGGGAGGGGAAAGAAGTATGTTGGGACAGAAAGTCGAGTAGGGAGCAATCTGCCAACAATGCACCGTCAAATCTGCTCCACAGCTGTTCAGCTCGCATATACATACGTAAAAGGCAATATCCGGAAGAGTAACTTTGGTGTGACAAATGTTTCATGAATTACGATTTCTTTCCCTCCAGTTGGAATATGCGTGTAGATGACCTCCCCGATACTGTCATAATTCCTGGAAAGTGGACCGCCGAGGGGGGTAAATCAGGAGCGGAAAGGATGAATCATTGTTTCGCGTGATCGATATCTATCTAGAACCAAGGACAGACAAGAAGGCGTACGTGTCACGCAACCATCACCAATTCTTACCAACCAATCAATCGTCCGATCTCATACAAGCTGACTTAAAGCATGTCTCATCATGAGAGCATCAAATGAAGTAAGATAATGCTCAGAAAGAAGCGGATTCGGTATGAGCGTTGAAGGCGTGTTCCTCACTCTGCCTGTAGCATGTACAGGGTGGTCCAAAAAAATAAGCGACATTTTCTATTCTTTTCTTTTCCGGTGATTATAGATGAACCGAAATGCCTCAGTATTCAGAGCAGGAACGAGTATGGATAGTAGAGCACTATTTCTGTAGTTATGTTGCTGGTCAGACACTCATCGGACCACCACCACTACTTTAGATAAGCTTCAGCTTCGTGCTGTTGAGCCAGTATACGTGCACAGTATTCCTCATGCGTTCATATTTTGTTGTAAGAGCTTGAAACGCTTAAATCCGGTACGAAAATGCACCAATGTCTCCAACCATACGAATAACACTCCCTAGAGCAGCGGTATTCAAAGTGCGGCCCACTAAACTTAACTAATAATTGATTTTTCACACTTTAACCGTTTTATCGACACTCTTGAATAATAGCGATGAACATTTTTTTTTTCATTTCCAGATTTGGAATCCTTCGCTTAAAACTAGGAAGTTTAGTCATTGTTTAGATATTTAGATACATATAATGCATGTTTACATATGAATGCTTATACTGTATATTTAGGTGTGCACCTCCTGAACATGTCTACAGCATTCGGAGCATCCATATACCGCAGACTTAAAAAAATGCTTCTCTCCCAAGGAAATAAAGTTAAGGAGGGAAAAAAAGGAGCACTTATCGAAAATACAGCTTGTGAAAAAGCAGCACCCTGAAACGCTGCATTTACGCGAGCCCTGACTCCAAGTAGCCGCAGCTTCCGTGACTACGAGAGGTGGAAGTGCGTGCGGTTGCGGTAGGAATAGGAAGTTTTCGATTGCCGCTCATTTTTTTAAACGGGACTTCCAGGTTTAGAGAAGCTTGACCGAGAGATCGATGGCCAGTTAACCCTGCAGAAATGTTGAATCTATTTCAATGCGGCATACTTCAGGTCGACTAACGTAATTAGTGCGGTCCATTCAAGGAGGACCAAAGTGTTCATGAGGCCCTCGCCTCGAAAAGTTTGGGGACCACTACCCTAGAGAATTAGCAGTTCCTTGGGTATTCAGCGTTAGCTTTTACGTGTTGGTCGCAGCACCTTATCCAGAACTCTCTGTGTTCTCATTAGGACGGACAGTGCTCTTTCGGCCTGACTTCCCTGTATTCTGATTGCATACCGATCAAGTTTCACGGAACTTTTTTAACAATAGACGGGATCATTTTATCTGGTGGAGCATCTTTTTCGAAATGTTCCTGAAAACCTTCTTTCAAAATTTCCAAAGATGGCCCATTACTCCGACCAGAGCAATAACTACGGAAATAGTGCTCTACTGTTCATATTTACTTCTGCACTGAACACTGAGATATTTCAGTTCACTTATGATCACCTGAAAATAAAAAAATTTTCATTTATCTTTTTTTTTGGGACCACCCTGTATTTCTCCCTTGAAAATGCACCCTTCTACAGCCTCGCAACTGAAATACGGCATGGAAGCCAAAAATATTCATTCCGGTGCTTGGAACCTTACAGAGACCATATGACACATTCTCCCAGTGGATACTACATTGATCTTTAGAGAGAGACACGAAAGCGTTAAAGGCTATTATTGCTAGCGAGTTCCTAGATCCAGAATAGAAGACAATAACCTTTGTCGTGATCAGGTTCTTTCGCGAAGGACTCTTCGATCATCATTCGTCACCTCAGTTATGTTCTTCCAACCACTGATTGTGTAAACACTGTGATTCAAGAGCATCTGGGTACGAGAAAAATGCCTCACGGGCTGGCTCTCGATCAAAGAGGGTTCACCAGCTGCCGGAAGAATGCGGTCCGCTCTTACTGGTGGTGGTGAGATCGGAGATGAGATTTTTGTCCTGCATAACAGCGCTATGTCCAAGCGCGAACAGTATTATTTGACAAAGATCGTCCTTGTCCTCAAATGGTCCATCAGGGGTCTGGTTCACGCATCTTCACCAGGATTTTTAATTTCATCTCTGGTTTCTATTACCTGCCAGTCAAGCACTCAATGCATAGTGCTATCGCTGAAGAGTGCCTTTCAAATTCGTTGACTTCAAAGTCAGGAGAATGCAGCAACTCACAAAGCAAAGACTCCTGTGAAATATTGCGAGGAACAAATTATTATCCTCGTAATATAATGCGCAATATGAGTTCGAAAAAAATAGATTTAATGCGGAACATAATAAGTACGTAGTAACGTTATTATTAGAAATCTAAGTACCAAACGTTAAATGCCTTATACCGAGTTCTGCATCGCGTTGTGAAAAAAAAGGAATGAGCTCTCGAGCACTCAGGAGCACTTTCCCTGGAAAGTAATATTAAGGTCAGAGAAGACCAACCGGAAGAAAACTGAAACGGCCTGTATCGGTGTATTTCAGTTGGTTATTTATTTATTTTAACGAGAAGATTGGAGAGGTATTCCTTCATGGGAAATCCCGTTGTTTTTCTTCCTTATCACGAGCACTTTCACCTCTCCGGTTTGCATAGCATACTTACTAGGATCATCTTGTGTGAGAATCAAGCACTCGAGCATGTACTTGATCAGGTACTTGAGTATCATGGAAGCATGGAGTATCATGAGTACGTATCATGGAGGCATACTTGCAATCGCTCATTCATTGAACGCTCCTTGTAACGCTACGTTAGCCTTCAAAGAAACATCTTGAATTCACAGAAGTGCACAGAGAGGAGACAGCCTTTTTTTATAGATGATATTTGCCTGTCAAAACCCTCCGAGGTAGAAAATCTATAGAAGGGTATTCTTTATCTCTATTTCGTCCCCTTCTCTCTTTCCAGTCATAGAAAACAAGACCTCAGATAAGACACAAAGAGCATCGAGCCACAAGTGCATCATTTCTCAAGGGTCTATTATAAGGCTGACATACTTCGCAAACAATGAAATACTACTTGCTTTGTTTGATTGGCTACAGGAGGCTCAAGTACTGGGCGGGTCCAAAACACTGGACGAAGTAAAAAAATGTAATTCAGAAAGGAAAAGTACTAAGGTAATGAAACACGCATTCGATTATAACCTAGGAATTAAAATTTTGTTGGGGTTGGCTTCATCTCATCTAGATTTTTGTACAGGTGTCAATTAGAATTTTCAGGATTTGAAATGACTGGATCTATCGTAAATGTGTACGAATGAACATGAAACTCTTTGTAGTATGCCTGCCGAATTCGACAGTTTGTAGCTTATAGGTTTTGTCTGTAGCTTCCAGTTAATGCCAACAAAATGCACACCACTTCGTCTTTGACTCATATTGTGCTGATGATGAGTACAAAGAAGGACCAGTGTGTAAAATAGACAGCAAAATTTGAATCGCCGGTTACAGTCCCACATGAGTACTATTTCCACCTTGTCTGCAGGATGATGCCTATTGATCGGACTAGCATTTCAGCTCGAAAAATTCCGATGCGCAAAAATCCTAATACGTCAGACAATTTCTTTCGTTCCCGTGAGACATCATAAGTGTATCATGGATGCCTCCAGTGGACGGTTGCAAAAGTGCATTGATTTTCTGAGCCTGAAAGTGCAAGATTTTTAAGAGTGCAACTTGAACGAATACATTCCAACAATTTTCTTGCAATTAGGTGCTTTTTAAATATAAAGGCTACAGCGACTTTAAATCTTGCTAATTAAGGTGGACACCGCGTATAATGTCCTCCATTATCAATACAAATCTGTAAACGATTCTATAATTTGGATTGCATGGATGAACTAGTCTTTCAGTATGTATTGATAAGTTTGTATTTGAGACTGAAAACTTACAAGGGTTTCCGTTTTTAAGATGTTCAAGATACTGAACTATGAATTGCACATTAAAAAATTTGCATGACTTTCCAGAAATGCGCCCATTGGAGCCAGTTCAAGTGACCTTGGGGCCCAAAGAGGCCCTTCCTGTCCATTAACCTAGGTTATTTGCCCCGAGAAAATCCTGAACTCTTCCAGGGCGTCGTGGGGGAGCCCCATCAAGCCCCATTCACTTCATTTTTAATAACATCCTTATATTCAACGAAAGGAATGTCAAAATGTCGATTTCATGAAGCAAATGTATCACACCACAAGTTGCGTCTATTTTTTTTAGCGTCACCATTTAAAAAAATCAGCTGATCATGGGTGTGTTTTAAAGCCACACAAAAATGCTGATATAAAACGTGAAACCTGAGGCTATAATTCCATTCACCTATTTCCTTTTCTGATTTAAAATACAAAAAACCGTTAGGTCTTATGTGTTCACACTGTATGGTAATCTTGTCATCCACATGGTAAAATCAAATTATCTCAGCGGTAACTTACAGCTTTCCGCGACCGTAATGTATTCTTGTTCTGTACAAAACATATGCGTATGGCCTTCTACTGCTTGCATGTTTAGTAGTGCATCTACAGAAAAACGAAGGCGTAAATTGGCCCTGGCCTTGTGGCCTTCCAAGAGGGGGAAATGAACAAGCCAAAGCTCCTAGAATTTTTCGCAAGCATCTGTATCGAAGAAATGTCGAATATTTCCCCTGTTCTGGAAAGTTTTGGGCAGCATAGCTGCCTCACGAAGAAAAGTTAAATTTTACACAACTACTTATAAATACAAACCAAGAGCCATCGTGGTTCTGTTTGACTTTTAATTACTTGAAAGTTTCTTGCTCGACTCAGAGCCAGTACTAGATTGGTTTCCAGGGTTACTGCATTTGTCCATAGGGGAATGAAATATACAGGACTATGTCGCTCTTCTATCAAGTTATGTAGTGTGGAGCTTATGACCATGTTATGGCCATAAGTATACAAGTACATACATGTATATGAATGTAATAATAATTCTGATATATCAGTGATTCAATCCTTCCTGTACCCCTTTCTCCCCCTCTTCCCCCCACACTTAGAGTTACTTTAAGGTCGACGAACTACTTTTCCTGTTCCTGCAGGGCCCTGGCAGGAGACAAGGCCAACGAGACCTACTTTGGTCAAGCCATCGTTTCAAAGCAGAAACCAATCATGGCACGAATGAGCACCCCAGTGAGTTCTAATTCTTTTATTCATACTTATTTCCCGGTCACAACCCTTTGCAGGCAGTGTAACCCCTGTTAATGTCCGTCAAGGGAATGGTCGATGCCGTGGAGGGATTGTACGAGGAATGTGCACGGTCGAGGAAAAAATGTTTCGGATGCGTGACGAGTGCCGAGTGCTATTCGTCCAATGCTGGTTGCATCCGGTCCAGAGGCTGCAAGATGATCGTCTCATACGAGCCGACAGATACTCCTAGTAACCTCGAGTTTGCCGTCTATGCTCGCATTAGGGACAGCAGTGATACCTACGTCGCCGTCGGGCTCTCTCTTCAACCAAAAATGGTACAATTTTCTTCTACTCTAATCCATCAGATGTGGGTCCACTAAAAGAAATCAAATTCGCGAAATTCCAATTTCATCGCGGAACCTCTAGCTTAAAGATACGATTATTAAGTGTCGCACAACTCGTGCGACACGTAATCAGTGTGACCAGCTCTGAAATACTGCATAAAATGCAATATTTTGCTTGTTTGGTATATGCTTATGGTCAAGTGATCAAGACATTTCTAGGTCTGTTGTCCTCGCGAACATAAAATACAAGAGAAAAAATTGCGTTTATAAGCCGATGTATTGTTTAAGAAATGAGAGGATTTCTCCAAATAAGCCGAAGTCCACGATGTTTCAGAATGGGGCTAAAGTGATGGAGTGTTCTTCTCAAGATGGTCAAGTGCAACTGAATCTTTCTGTCAATGAAGAATACAGAAATCGTCGACTGCCAGAGGTGAGCGAGAAAAAAATGTTTTGAATCTCAGGTCTAAGCAGTTGAGACTTCATTCAAGATTATGCTGAAGCGATATTGAAGTTTTCTCCTTAGGTGGGGTAATTTCCTTCAAACAAATCATTTTCAAATTATTTTTATTACAAATTGTCTCCCTAACTTCATTCCCAAGATGTCGAACATGCCAGTGGGACAGATAACGTAACCAATTGCGGCTGGATGTGCCGTCGGCTGAGTTTTTCGAGTCAAGTCCCGATTTTTCGAGAGGTGGGTGGACGCGCTACCACGAAGCCATTCTTCCGTGGAAACCATTCTTACATAGAATATGGCGTGGTTCAACTTTCTTGAAACGTCTCTTCTCACTCTCCCTCACGTTTTGACGACGTCAACGATACATATTTTTAATTGCCATGGTTCGAAAATATTACTTTATGGTTACCTCAACTTACAGGTAATGTCTCTTATTTCCCTCTTGTTACATACATTTGAAGTGCAAGGTGTTATACCAACTTTGAGCATAAGTTTGCCAAGCCTCGCTTAGCGGTTTCCTGTATTATGCATAACTGAAATTGGCATAAGGTCAGAATCTCCAAAATTAGGGAGCATACGTTATCATAGTATACCTGTTCAATCTCGATGAAGACTATATGAGTTTACCGTCTCAATAACTTGAAAAAAGAATTTCCTCAGTCTCTGAAGTTGCTGTGGGTTGGTTATCTTCCTAATATGTATGGTTTTCTATCTCGTTACATACAGGAGTCTCAAATGGCGCTACACGCAACGTGGCGAGCATAACGCTGGGAAAATCATCTCTGGGATTATTTGCTATTTAATTACCATCGCATTCTCACCGGCTCCCATACGTTTTCGAATATCAACTTTCACTCCGTAGCTTTCATCCGATATAACCAATCGCCCAGTCATGGTTGCCTAGACACTCATGCGAGCCTTTTTCATATGGTTATTTTTCATTATTCATATAGTTATTTAGGCATGCAATTGGAAGACGGGAAGGGTCATTTCTCGTTTTCGCCAATCAATGTGGAAGTATCATGGGAGAAATAACTTTTTTTTTAATAGGCCGACACGAAGTGGCTAATCAAAATGAGAATGATGAATAGACTGGTCTTCCGCGATATTTTCAGAAGTTTTTGCTTCTATATTGTTCACAAGTATGGGATTTCTGTCACTTCTTATGGAGTCTCTCATTTAGCATGGAATAAAGGAATTCAGCCGCAAAAGCAAGCAACTGACATTTTACATATGAAGTGGTTTTTCCATCCAAGAAGTTGCCTCGGAAGTCTCTTTCGTTTTCTTTCTTGATTGATGAGGTACAAGGGGAAGTCTCTCCGGTTTTGGATAAGTCAAGCGCTGAGCGATCCAAAAATGTCTCATTTACAATTGCGCTATGCGCTGGAATGAAGTGGTCCTTTATTGCGAGTTTTGAGTCAACGTTGCAAGAAAGGAGTCTTGTTTCCTCTGACATAACTTACCCAGTATGTGTACTAAGTAGAGAATAGAAAAAAAAAATTATTCTCTTCTACTTCACGATCTAATGTGATTTTCTGTCTAAATATGACTGTCAGTTATCTAAATGTGGCTAACATGTTGGGGCGTTTCTGCGATACAAAACTCGTTAAAAAAAAAACAGTCCAGTACCAGAGAACGGAGAGAATGAAAGTCCGCCCCTAATTCTGACTAACCCAGGAGTAAGGAGGAGAAGTTTTGTTCGCTCTTCGGCTCCAGTTTCTTGATAACATTTACAGGATGTGAAGGCCTGTGCACGAATAGAATTCTATACCTAGTATATTCGCTCATTTCATTATCGAAGAACAATACATTAACACATTGCGTATCGGAAATTTTATCCCCTCGATCCGCCGCTCTGACCTAAGTCTCAATTACCTTAGCCTAAAGCTCGATGCCTACAATGCTATGACTTTTTTCGGCCATAGGCTAGGCGAAAGGACTCAAAAACGATCTCCGGGAGCGGTACGCAAAGTGTTAAGGGATCCTTTCTCCCTAGAACTTTGAGCAGACCTATGAATCAGCCATATATGAAGCAACATCAGCGCGACGCGTGACTTGCTTGTCTCATGGAACCTGGCGGCCTAATTGCATTATTTTATTCATCAGGTGGAAGACGATGGTCTGAAACTTCTGCAGGGGATTGGGGGAGATCAAGAGGTTTTCTGCCGATTCACCAAAGATTTCACGAAGCAGGAAGGGAACTTCACAAATAACCCCGTTCACATCCTCCTCGCTGCTGGCTACTCTTCTCCAGGTTCTCTCATTTCTTCTAATTTGGACTTTTGCTTTTCGACTGTGAGGGAAAGAGTGGGGTGGGGGGTGAAGGTGCGAAGGACCGAAAGTGGAGGAATCAATTGGAGAATTGCAATCTCTTGGAAACGGACATGAGGCCAAGGAGGAAGCTAATTCCTTGCTTCCTGCAGTTCAACCTGCTACAAACTTGAGAGCCTTCCTTATGCATTCTCTTGTTTGCTCTGTCCCAAACATGAGCCTATTTCACTGATATCGTCCACTGGAGAGTTTAACGAGGCGCTTGGTGGAAGCTTGCTACATGATACGATCTTCCCAGTTTATTTTCTAATTGAATTTCTTTGCTGAGGCAGCTTCGTGACTGCATGAGAAGCCTCCTATCTTACTTCTGGTTCAAAGAGACGCAATTCACTAATGAGACTCTAAAGACTCCTGGTGTTCTCTTTGCATGCCTGCTTCAGTGCGTCTGGTTACCTGGATTGCCGTTTAGCATATCTGTTTTATTGCAGAGGGCATAGAATACCACGTGTTCAGGGCGGCGAAGAAGGAGGCAGAAGTCCTCATTAACGTGACATCTAGATACGAGGAAGAAGTGGAAAAATATCCTCGAGAAACTTTACTCGACTTCCACAATGCGCAGCCAGGGAAGGAGAATAGACATGGATCCTCCACTCTGGTGGACACAAGTGACACTTCAGGAGGCAGATTTGAAATTCCAGTTGAAAGAAATGACATTCAAGTGGAGAAACCAAGGATTGCGGGGATTAGGTCCGAAGAGGCCCTGGCCGAATCGAGGACCAATTTCATCCAATTATTTCAGGTATATTCATTCAATTCCTACGCTTTTTAGCTGCGACCGTTTCACGGAAGTATTTGTGGTATCATATGAAGTTGGCTCAACCTGAGAGCGGAACCTTGCGAAAGTGAAGAGAATGCAAAATTTGATACAATCTAAGTTTTAAGTTGATGAGCTTGTGGAAGGGATAAGGAGTCTCTCTTTCACGTGAGATTATGCTATGGAAAGAGCAGGAGGGGATAAAATGTGACGAATGATTAATTTAATTATTACTAATAATCCATCGGAAGTTCAGAAATAAAGATGTTCTGATTCGAACTATCCATACAGATAATTTGCTAAATGTATAGGGAAAGAAAATTTGAGATGAAACATTTGTATTCCACTGCAATGTAATCTATAATGATCGTGCAACAAGCTGATATGAGATGTCAGGAATGTTGAAAGAAAATCATGAAATATCGTCAAGTTCAATCGAATCCTACAGGGTTCGACCAGAAGCAGCAGTTACACCGTACTATGATAGAAGCGCTTCTGAAATACCCAGCAACACAAGACTCAAGGCCAATGCAAGGGTTGCCTCAGTCTTCCGCCTCACAAGGCCTAGACACGTTGGGGTGCTTTCCAGGGATTGCATTAAGGAAAATATATTTTCTTATTCTTGAGTAAACAGACTGTTTCAAACCTGTTGCAATGATTGACAAGCGGTAATAACACTGGGGCAGCGGTAATGACACTGACTTTGAGGGCTTCTGAAAGGCTAAAATTTTCCTTTTCTACCAAGCTGTTACGCATACTCGAAAGTTCAAAGATGTTTCAGTCGATTTTGGAATTACCCAAATAACCATGTTAGTAAAATACATGGTGTGATTCTCTAAACCAGGGGTCGGGAACCTTTTTGGTCATGTGAGCCATATTAAGATTGAGCCAAGTGCTTATGAGTGAAATATTTTCAGAACATAATTTTTCCTGAAGTTGACAACAGACACATGCATTCTTCAAGACATGAGAAAAATGAGGAACAACCATGATTTTCAGCCATGCCTCAATGAACCAAACTTTTCGGTTCGTGAGCCAAATTTGGTTCCCGACCCCTGCTCTAAACCCTTTAAATCCCACGCCCGAGTATACTCGTGATAGCTCCATGGGCTCCTTAGGGAACTCGGGAGTTAAAGTGTCAAAAGTATACTCATGTTCTTATAGCCTAACCCATTGCTTACAGGGACGTAGAGACGTATGCCATTCCATGCCATATGCCCAGGACCGCCGAAAGGAATTGAAGCCTGGGGCATTGTTAGGACCCTCTTTCCACTCGTCTCCCCCCCACGATTGAACACACTCGGCAACTTTTCTTTGCTAGTGAACGTTTCGCTAGTGAGCAATAGTATATCTGCTAACGTGGCCCTCGCCAGGCATCGGGCCCGGGACAATTTGCTCCCCCCCCCCCCTTCTCTTCGGGCCTGGATATGCTAGACCATAAGAACATGAGTATACTTTTAAAAGTCACACTCAGTACTTGCAACTGCATGGACGGTATAGAAGAAGCACCAAAAATTGCTCTCCTTTCATCATATACAGTAAATGCTTTCCGCAAGCAGCAAAGTGACGATTCTAATGACAACAACGTTCCCATCGAACACTTCTCAGCAGAAGAGAGATTCGGTGTAAAGGTTGCAGCAGAAGTTCACGATACTATCCCATTGCAGAAACATACCAGTCACAGCTGGTGCGATCACATCAGTGAGCAATTCCATGTCTTTCTTCTTCAGAATCAGGTTTCTGAAGATATCTACAACGGGTGTGGAACATCGAAGATTTGCTTCGGGTGTACTGACTCGGACAGCTGCACGTGGAGAGACGCTGGCTGCATCAATGCCAGGTCTTGCTCTATGGTGGTCTCATTCCAGAGCGGCCCCCAAGGAGGCCTTTCTGTCCGTCTACAAGGCACGTATTCCCAAGATCCTGGCTATGTCGCCCTTGGATTCTCCACCGATGCTCGAATGGTTCGTGTCCCACCATGATTACTGTCGTAACCCTTCATGAAATTGAATATTGGTTTGAACGATAAAACTTAGTTTGATCCTTCTCGCCCCGATTTCCATTTTGTAAAGTTAAGTCTCGCGCCAAAAAATAAGCTCAAATAGTGAACAGGCCATTCGCAAATAGTTTGGAGAAGTCACGAGCTTCCTTCCCAACACTATCTGATTAAGAGACCCCGGTTTAATATTCGCACAAGCAAAGCAGATGGACAGCTAGTTGGACCAGGAACAGTAGACACTTCCGCTGTTTCATATAAATTATGACTCGCAATAATGCGATTGTGGATCACAATTTTTATGACAATTCATGAAATGGGGAGGCTGTTTCATATAACGCATTGCTATTATTGTATTACCCATTTGACTTATTGTTCACAGGGTGGAGATGCTGTGATTGGATGCATCAACCAAGGAGGCTCAGTTAATATATCTCGTTCATTCAATCCATCCGGAGAGAAGACAAATGTCCTGCTTTCGGCTGTGAGTCCACAAGGCATTTCACCTCCATTTAAGATAATGCACCCTGCCAAAAAAAAAGACAGTGGTGAAGAAGCTGCTTGTGAGACGGATCCTTCCAGTTCCCCTTGATCGCCCGCTCCAGCGAGAGTGTTCATGTGTTGTAAACTCAAAGGAGACAAAGAGACCGCTCCAACGATATTGAATTCGCCGTTATCGCGGCTCGAAATTTTGAGCACTGAGCGGATAAGAAGGGTTTCATTCAAGGTCGGAGAGCGTCAGGTTATTTTCAGAATGGGATGCAATATTAAGTAGAGCACTCTGGTCTCCCGTGTAACGTATGTAATCCTTCTCTATAATCCTCCTCTATAATCCAACAGCATTATCGACGTCTATGGATGTCCTTGCCTGACACAGCAGCAGTCAGAAATCAATGTTCATTTTTGGTTACGCCTGCCTTTGGCTTTAAGAGGAACTTTATTTCCCTATCAACTTCTTTGACAAAAAAAAATAACTTGGGTTCTCTTCGGAAAAATTCAGGGAACTCTGGTGATATCTGAAGCTAGGAACGAAGCAAATTCAGTTATTACGTCTGTAGGATTCTTTCCTTCTGCTCTTTTGGCATCGTATTGCATATTTTTCCTTCGGAGAGTTCCTGAATAGCTACTTTAAGAAATTCATGAGCATTGTATGTCAAGCATGCGCAAGAATGCTAAATAATTACGGGTGTTTGAAAAAATATTGCATTTATGGGTCCACTAGATTGTTTCCAATTTAGGGGTTTGGCCCTTGAAAATCAAATGTCAAACAATGAAAGGGATTATTCACAAATATACCAAAATGTGAGATAAGATCGGGCCATGCTCTGCAGCCTATTTCGTTATAAGTGGGCAAAATCTATATGCAAAATTAAGATATATTAATATCAACGTGAATATACAGTATTTCATGCAATACAATGTGTTCTTTGCCCTCGCAGAGTGAGGAAACGGCGGGCTTACAAGGAGAGAGTGGAAGCTATTCAGATGGAAGCATTTTCTGCAGTTTCACTTTGGCACCAGAGATATCCGCAAACGGCCAGATATTCAACTTCACCACCACGCCTTATTTCCCCCTTCTAGCAGTGGGGCCAGCCTCCTCCGCAGGTATAGGCTAACTTTCCGCCGCTTCAGCTCTCATCCTCTCTTTCCGAAGTTCATCCGTTTGTCGTAGTCCAACGCCAAGTCTGCACTGGACTAATTTCATCGCACTTCACCGTTTCGAAAATTTTTGCGACAATTCGAAATTTCTGACTTGTTCAAAGTTATGATTGAAAATTTTCATGAATGACTTTCATAACATAAGACGTAGTGCTTGAAGAAAATTGATGAGATATATGTCATAGGGTTTTGTGGAATCCCGGGGGATTTAGAATCTCCCTAGTGGGATGCAGAATTACGATAACCCGCGGGTTCAGTGAAATCATTTCGAAATGCTTCTATCATATCGCTTCCCACTAAGGAGGTGCCAAAACACCCTGCTCTGCTGCCTCTGCTTCCATCACTTTTTTATGCCTGGGGGGAAACGGAATCATCAAGACCCCCGAGGGAAATTACATTTTGTATTTTAGTCGAAGCACTATTAAAATAAAGCAGTTGGTAACTCGCGAAGAGACATCAAATTGAAGTCAATCAACAATGAAAAGTTGAAGCTCTCAGAATGGAGGTGGCTCGCGTTCCGCGGCGACGATTTCTTGCACTTGCAGTTGGATCCTGCATTCCCGCTAGTTAAGTCTCTCTTTGCCGACTCTACCACGGCCTTCCACATTTATCTTTAGAGGTTGACAGTAGCAGGCACGGCACTCTTCACCCTTCAACTAATCGTTCACATACGGAAGAATCGCCTGCGGTAGGAAAAGTCGAGCCTTGGGAAGGACAAGTTTTGAGTCAGGGAGATTTAGAATCTCCCTTGGGAGTATAGTATTTACAGTCACGCAACATAGAGACGATTTCATTAAACTCGCAGGTTTGTCAAAATTCAATGCTCCAATACAGAAACTCAAAATCCTCCTAAATTCCACAAAACCCTCTAACCCTCGCAAACTCCCGGCCCGCAGACCGCATTCGCATGGAAACGCCTTATTTGCCGCCTCGAGTTTGAGACCCCTGCTCTAACATATTGATCCAGAATGGCGAGCATTTTACTGCTTTACATTTCGTGGGTATAGTCATGGCTGGCCCGATTTCACACTCCGTAGGAGAGAATAGAGTCAGGACACTTCGCTTGCTTACCTGAAAACCAGTATGAGTATTTGCATGAGGAAAAGAACTCACATTGCTTTGCCGGAAAGATTCTTTCAGAACAGAGTAATTTCCATTAAAAATGAATATCGGCAATACTTTCTGCAGGTCAGTTGCAATACCACTCCATGAGAGCGTCTTCGTTGGATGCTGTTGATTTCCTGAAACAGGTTTGGAGTTATTCCTTGATCTGAATTCATCATATAGATGTTGAAGTTTCCTTTTGAGATAACCGTTTCCACTACTGCTCTTCCAGGAAGATCCATACGAGAGTTGTGGGGATACAAAAAAATGCATCGGGTGTGAAGGAAACCTCTGCGTAGAATCAGATGGATGTCTTCGAGACAGAACCTGCGAAATGTTTCTGTCATTTATACCTGCAAAGCAAGACGAAACTTCCATCACCATCACCATGATGAGACGGGAAGCTGGGCAGTCATCGTACGTTGCCATGGGATTCTCCGAAGATCAGCTAATGGTACGCATCATCTGAGCTTCGAAGCAACAAATGAGAGTGGAGGGAACAAAAGTTCATTATTCCCTGGAAGTTAAGATCTTTAATGCCATCTTTTCTACTAGGACATAAAGAAAAGTGGGAGGTGACTTGTTGAAGCGCAAGTCTACAGAAAAGTACATAGGATCATACAATTTTGCGGAAAACTCGAAAATGTCCTCAATTTGTTCCTTGACACAGCAGATGTCACTCCACTGTGACCTTATGCAAGACAACTAGTCACATAAGTTCATAAGTTGCTGTTCAGAAGTATATCCTAATTTGCGAGATCATATTGTTTTCCCTTGTTGGAGTCTAGTGTGAATAATGGTGAATTTTCTAAGCTTCTCAATTACAGTATTCTCTTCTCAACGAGGGGTAACTCTAGCCAACGCCAACATCTAATTTTATCTACACTACTTGAGTCCAATTTCTGGCTTTTTCATATTTGCTTAGGATTTGTTCAATCGTCCGAGACCGAAGCTTTTTGACAAGGGATCGCATTATTCGTAGGCGTTTATAATCAATTTAATTCATTTATGAGTGAATTAATTTATTTGAGCATTTATGTTTTCATTCTCTTCTTCCTTGAAAGAAGAAGTGAAACATCCAAAACTGCCTTGACATAGATTATTCGCGATATTCCCGTAGATTTTCCATGAAAGGGAGGAACAAAAAAGGAAGATGAATGTTAGTTTAATAGTTTCATGCCATAATTATTGAGACGACATTATTATGTGACTCTATAACATTTTTTATAAAAATTTTTTAACTTCAGAATTCCCTATTATTACTTTCCAGGGACAAGATCATGTAGTTGAATGCCTGACAGATTCCGGAAGTTTGAACTTGTTCAGGTCTTACAATTTGGAACCTGGAAATAATACCCGTCTGCCTCAAGTGAGTCCTTCTTCCTTCACACCCTACAGCTGAGTGTTAGTATTTAACGAATATATTATTCAAGAAATAGTTTCTGGAACTGTGTCCGGTCATCTGTGATAAATACCAATGAACATAAGTGGCATTACCCTTTCCATTACGTTCAGTCCATTTCCCCAGGGAGACTACAGGGTGTTCCGAAAGTTTCTGACCCACTAAAATGAAGATGGAGGCGAGATTGACGGGAATATATTTATTTAATTACATTCTACATGGCGAAGAATACCCAAGGTACCAACTCTTACATCAATACTTGGTATGATTTCTGCGGACCCCAAAGAAACCTCGGGTCAACGTCCCGAATCTCTCAACCAACCGACGAATGACGCTCGTCACGTTTGTTTCTCTCTCCACTTAGAACCCCGGTAATGAGTGACGTCTGATTTAAGGGGTGGGGCTGACGCAGAGTACTCTACTGGAACCTGTGCCACAGGTGTTCTGGATGCTGAGGTCCGGACAGTTCCATGGTAAATTCTTCTTGATCCGTACCATATTCTCTTGAATGGCGCGGAATACGAAGCAAGCCTCCGAGGCATGGCCTCCGTCCCGCATCAGCACAGCTTTTTCTTGGTCTGAGCAGATCGCCCGGATCTTCATGTAGCCCGTGCAGATGAGCGGAAAGTTTTCACTATAGCTGGCATAGCATTTAGCCACATCTTGTGTGGGTGGGTCAGAAACTTTCGTAACACCGTGTTACAGGATACCCATCACGTCCCTCTATCATGATTTAACTTATTTTGTTTCTTAGGCATCTGTTTCTCAATCATTATGAAAATATAACGTCTCTTGGGAATGAATTATCTGACAAGCCAGTAATTGTTTCTTAGGTTAAGAATGACACTTCTGCCAGCATACGGAAATCAGCTTAAAGTTGATTGATCCGAGGTCGAATCATTCTCTATAAGTCGACTGCCACGAGAGTGCAATAATTGATTCTGATTTTAGGAAGCCATTAATATATATATTTTGTGTATGGTTTAGACGAGCTGAAATCAGTAAACATGTATATTTTAAACTCCTTATAATTAGCCTAATTTTAGGCTCTGAGGACTCCGTTCATGACCAAGCGTCCATATTGCTGCACCCTTCTAACGCGAGAGTTATTCAGATCAAAAGCAAGCGTGCAAGATATGATAACCTATTTTGTCCTTTCCATGTTTTGCCCTTTCCATGTTTTGCCCTTTCCATGTTTTGCCCTTTCCATGTTTGATCTATTATTCACGTGGAGGCTTTCATAGATTTTCCAATGCGCTTTGTAATCATGCACACTATCCTGTTCCTTCAGGAGATGGACACAATCGGTTAAATAACTATTAAATATTAATATTAAGACAGTAAAGTAACCAAGTAAAGTAAAGCAAAGCAAAGTAAGAAAGTAAACCAAGATTTTGTGCAAACTTGGTTCCATTCAAGGACTAACCTATTTTTGGATCCAGCCGGCTCGATTACAAGGGTGCCGTTTCTGTCGAGCCATCGTTGCATCAGGACCTTGAATCGGCAGCGAAGGCTTTGCTTTTCAAAGCTGGTAGGAAGGAGACCCTAGCCTGTTTGGATCCTTTGTCCGGCCTTGGTTGTCTTGGGAAGAATATGCATCAAACTCATATTTTCAGGTTTCTTAGTCCAATCGTGATCGAAGAGAGAGTTAAATGTGCGACAATGGTCACGGATTAATGCAGAATGGAACCCGTCGTTTCTCGACGCCATTCCAAGTCAATTTTATTGCAGCTTCACGTGCATTCTCCTGAAAGTAATGGCATCTGGAAGATTGCAAATAATTTCTGCTCTCTCTGGTAGGGGGGCATGCCGTGTCTGGGAAAGTCTTTCCTCGAGTGGGACCTAGGGCCTTCAGATGAAGGGCCGTTTTCCTTTTACATTCTTGTGTTACCATAGTTCCGTCATTTTCTCCGCCAAGAACTTTGATACTTTCTCCTTTTCTCACGTTCATGGACATATTTCTTTTATTTGCAAGAGCATTTTGGAGAAAACCAGCAGAAGAAAACCACACACGACCATGTTCACTGCTCATTGAACCTCCTTATCTGTTCTTGCAAGGTCTGATAAATAATGATACGCCTCCTTTTTCATCCGATTGCTTGCGTTCGTCTCACAATAAATTACATTTTGGAAAATGTAGTGAGGCGTTCGTGTGAGTCGACGTGGATGTGCGTCTACGTTCTACTTTTTAAACCCAGGACTGACATGCATATATTCTATTTGCATTTGTTATACTCAACATATGGTCTGCCCATTACAGGAGGAGCAGGGAGATGGACTTGCAGAAATGTCAAGTTCTTACAGAGATGGTGTCCTGATATGCACATTTACGTACGATTTAGTAACAAAGTCGGCCCTTGGTGGGAGCCTAGATTTAACGAATGCCAACCTCTATCTCCTTCTCGCCAAGGGTGAAACTACCTCTCCCGGTGAGTCCAGCCATTGAAAACACTCCATTCAATTCCTTCTCTTTCCTGAAGAGGAATACGTCTCGGAGGAATTATCCCTCCCATTATGGGAGTCATGTTAAATCTCTCAGATTGATTGCAAGCATAACGCAATAGAAAACTACGAGAAAACGTTATCGAACTCCAGTCGAGTCAATGAAAATAGACTCTCACGAAAGTCGAAGCACAGAAAAAAAGTCTATCACCACCTTGGATGCATAATCATTGAGTTGTTAATCATAGAGCGTCTTTTTCCTACTTTAAAATTTCTCTGCCTTTTAATCAAGTGTTATTATTATTGGCATTGGAGTATTCATAATTTTTGCAGATCGCGAGACTGGGCTTCAATATCATGCAAACCGGGGGACTTCTCTATCTCAGTTTACTTTCATGGACTCATCTGATTCATTTACCACACCTGCATCTCCAGCTTCAACTGCCGTAGATTCATTTGCTTCTTCATTTGTCACAGCTCCACCTACCTCGACTTCGTCTATCGAACCCGTCACTACGTCCAAGGTTACGGTGAATATCTTCGAACATATTGTGTTCCTAGGACACCGATCTGATCTGTCTCAATTTCTCTTTGAGTGACATGTTCAGCGAACATTACATAAAATGAGACTGTCTGAAAATCAGAATCTCCCAGGTAAATCGGTGTAAAAGTAACATTTTCATTTTTCGGTGTAGTCGGGAAAAGAAGTCATCTCTTCATTTGTCGGATGGTAAAATGCAACTAATCTCGACTTTGTGAATCATGCCATACGTTTATTCAGGGAACTTCGATGGCTTTTCATAGATGCTCGAAATCACCATCCGTACATGGCAAAGCATCAATTGATTGTTTACAATGCGGTCGTGAATCATCACGACTTTCCCCCCTATCCTTGAGCGAATTAATTATCGCGGCGATGAGCTCCGGCGAAATGTATTTAATCGACATATGCTAAAAGAAGATGGGTTCGCCGGTCCATTGAGTATTCCAATATGCAGAGTCGACTGTAATAACATAAGGTGAATCCTATCATTCACCCTCCCCCCTTCCCAAATCCCCGAATTTCCCTATATACCAAATTTCAACATTCATTTCTACTATAATATTCAAATGAGATACACCTTACGAATATGGAGCTTTCTTGTATCATTTGGAGGGAAGATGCTTCCCATCCTCAGAGACCTCCAATTTCCCTTTAAAGCAATTTTAAGTGAGTCCTGTCTCAGAGGATTCTAAATGGGATAACATTTGAATTTCAAACTACTACGATTTGGATCAATAATAGGAGAGATGCGTTGCGTCATCAGGGAACCCTCAAATGCATGTATGCAAATTTTCAGCAAGTTTCGCTGCGTAGCATGAGTGGCATTCAAATGAGATACGTCGTTCGAATATCGAACACCCGGACATCGGATGAGGCATGATTTTTAGCCTTGCACGAGATGAGTTTCATCTCTATTGGACCGATTCGACCTGCAGATCGGGCCGGCAGCTCGGTTGGCAATCAAGTTTCCTGTTGGGTGCTGGCGAATGCGCCAGCCAGAGAGGTCTTTTTCTCCAGTCGCTTACAGCTGCTGGTACTAGTAAAAGGACACCGTTCCGTCAGCGCTCGACGCGATCACGTCGTTTAATGACTTGTATTATTGGGCAATCAGCTGGCAGCGGAACGCAGTGAACTAAGAGAGCATTGAACAGGCCTACATGAATGTGGCATCACGAGATAACTGGAATCGCCAGCAGAGCCGCTTAGAAAAAGGACGAACCCAGAGACCCTGAGTTCTGGAACTTAAGAGACTTAAGCGGGTTGCGAGCCTCCCCGATAGGCCAGACAAGGCCCGCGAGTGGGGTTTGCAGAGCTCGGTCCAGCGATCGAGTTTCTTATCGGGTGGACCGCGATTCAATTCGGACCGAACGGGTCGGATTCGGAAAATTCCATACGTGCAGGCCTCCGGTGGACTGACAGGACAGGACTTCGGCTATTATTATATAGATTGGCGAATACATCAGTTTTCAGAGCGTCGGCAGAGAAATCCTCAACTTTATTTGACCAAGGTCAGTACCGATTGCTGACTGATTTAAGGTAGTAGGGGAGGAAAAATCGACCGTCTGGGATTCGAAATCTGAGAAGTAAATGTTGTAGGGGGTCCCTAGAGAAGTGCAATGAGGGGTCGCACAGTCACCTCCGACCCATAGTTTGGCCAAAAGTCACTGCCAAAGTTGCCGCTAGATGGCCATTTGATGAGTCGAATTCAAACGATTACAACTCGGAAACCGTTTGTCAGAGGAACCCGAAAATAACGTATTCGGAAAGCTAAGACAATCTACTTTTAAATGAGAGGTTCAGATTCAAGCTGACTCAAAAGGTCAAAGGTCAAACGGCCATATAACTGAGAATAGTAGAATTTTTGAGAAAAGTATTTCGACCGCCATTCGGGCCACAGATCCACCACAGACAAAAGCATGCATGCGATTTTAGAGGACCTATCGGTCGAGCTGTACGCCAAATCTCATGGGCCTTGTACAGAGCATTTTGGAGAAAATATCCACCACAGACAAAAGCATGCATGCGATTTTAGAGGACGTATCCGTCGAGCTGTACGCCAAATCTCATGGGCCTTGTACAGAGCATCTTGGAGAAAAGTACCGAAATGTGCTTGAAATTGGGGCAAAAAACGCTACTCCGCGTGGTTTTTTCCGTTTTTCTCGGCTTCAAGTAAAAAATCTGGAAATGTTCTCTGATAGATCGATAGGGAAGAGTCTCTAGATTGCAGGGACGCCAGAATCGTGTTTATACCTGCAAGGGTTCATTCGGAAAGTTTATTCAAAGTTGTGCATTTTTAAAAGAAAAATCGCCCCCCACTGGCCCTTGACAATACCATCACCAGAATGCGTCGCCAAACACATGTGGGTGAAAAATCACGCCAGATTTATTGATAGATCGATAGATATGAATCTTCGGAAGGAGTCCATGCATCAAGGGTTCCTTCGGAAAGTTTATTCAAAGTTGTGCATTTTTAAAAGAAAAATCGCCCCCCACTGGCCCTTGACAATACCATCACCAGAATGCGTCGCCAGACACATGTGGGTGAAAAATCACGCCAAATTTATTGATAGATCGATAGATATGAATCTTCGGAAGGAGTCCATGCAAAAATCACCGTGATGTCTACCCGGACTCCCGCAAAATAAATGACGTTTCTGAAAGGGATAAAAATCGCCCCCCCTCTTCTCTGTAAACGTTTACGCGCTTGCCACAGAATGCTAGCCCTGGCTCCTCAAAAGCAAAAATCACAAAATCTTCTCTGATAGATCGATAAAAAAGACTCTCTGGATGGCAGTGAGACTTCGCTCGACCCTTTGCGATGGATGGTTCGCTCAGAAAGTTCATTCAAACCAAAATGATATTTCGCCCCCCATTCAACAAAGGTGTCGAAAAACGTCCGAAATCGCATTTCAGACGTAACTCCTGAAATTTTCTCTGATAGATCGATAGATATGAATGCCTGGAGTGCGTGGATGCATTCATCTTTGTGATCTAGGCTCTGGTTTCTTCGGAAAATTCATTCAAGCCAAGCGTTTTCGGTAGGATACCCACCGCCCGCCTCCACCGGAGCTAGGCTTTCATCGGCGCGGCCGATCAGGTATCTCTGGGGCAAAATCATGAAATATTTTTTGACACGTCGACAGCAAAGGTTCTCCCTAGTGTATCTATGACCGAAGCACCAACTTTTCTCCCCCGGCTCACTCGTGATGCCTCTCGTTTTCGGCTGTACCCCACCCCTCTACTCCCTCCCGTGCGCTCGCGTGTGAATGCCACCCTGATCCGCCTTCAACAAGGAAATCTTGAAATGTTCTCTGATAGATCGATGAAGGTGGTTTCCTGGAGTGCATTGACACCGTGATGTTCACGATCTATGCTCTGGTTTTCTCAAAAAGTTCATTCGAGGCAAGCGTTCAATGTAGGATATTCGCGCCCACCTCCACCTGACCTGACTTTCTTCGGCGCAGCCGATCAGATGTCTCTGGAGCAAAGTAACCACATATTTTTTTACATGTCAACAGCAAAGGGTCTCCTGAGTGTATCTATGCGCGAAACACCAACTTTTCTCCTCCCGCTCACTCGTGATGCCTCTCGTTTTCGGCTGTACCCCACCCCTCTACTCCCTCCCGTACGCTGGCGTGTGAATGCCTCCCTGATCCGCCTTCAACAAGGAAATCTTGAAATATTCTCTGATGGATCGATGGAGGGGGTTCTCTGGAATGTATGGACACATTCATGCTTGCAATGTAAGGTCAGGTTCTATTGGAAAGTTCATTCCAACCGAGCGATCCCTGAAAGACTTCCACCGCCCGCCTCCCTCTTAGCTAGCTTTCATCGGCGCTGCCGATTGGGTGTCTCTGGGGCAAAATCATGAATTATTTTTTGCCATGTCGACAGCAAAGGGTCTCTCGAGTGTATCTATGGCCGAAGCACCAACTTTTCTCCCCCCGCTCACTCGTGATGCCTCTCGTTTTCGGCTGTACCCCACCCTTCTCCTCCCTCCCGTACGCTGGCGTGTGAATGCCTCCCTGATCCGCCTTCAACAAGGAAATCTTGAAATGTTCTCTGATGGATCGATGGAAGGGGTTCACTGGAATGCATGGACATATTCATGTTTGCAATGTAAGGTCAGGTTCCCTCGGAAAGTTCATTCAAGCCGAGTGTTTCCGGTAGGATATCCACCATCCGCCTCCACCTGGCCGATCTTTCATCGGCGCGGCCGATCAGGTATTTCGGGGCAAAATAACGAAAATTTTTTTTGACAAGTCGACAGTAAAGGGTCTCTCGAGTGTATCGACGCCCGAAACACCAACTTTTCTCTCCCTGCTCACTCGTGATGTCTCTCGTATCCGACTGTTCTCCACCCCTCTCCTCCCTCCTGTACGCTCGCTTCTGATAGCCTCCCTGATACGACTTCCACACTGAAACCTCGTAATATTCTCTGATAGATCGATGGAGGGTGTTCTTTGGAATGTATGGACACTTTCACGTTAGAAATGTATGATCAGGTTCTCTCGGAAAGTTCATTCAAGCCGACTGTTTTCGGTAGGAATTCCACCGCCCTCCTCCAGCTGACCGGGCTTTCATCGGCGCGGCCGATTGGGTGTCTATTTTGTAAAATTACCCAATATTTTTCGACACGTCGACAGCAAAGGGTCTCCTGAGTGTATCTATGCCCGAAACACCAACTTTTCCCACCGTGCTCACTCGTGATGTCTCTCGTTTCCAACTGCCCCCACCCCTCTCCTCCCTCCTTTACGCTCGCGCATGAATGCTTCCCTGATACGCCTTCGACATGGCAATCTTCAAATGTTCTCTGATAGATCGATAGAGGTGGTTCTCTGTATTGCATGGACATATTCACATTCGCGATATTTGCTAAGGTTCTCCCGGAAAGTTCATTCAAGCCGAGCGTCTTCGGTAGGATATCCGCCGTACGCCTCTACCTGACCGGGCTTTCATCGGCCCACCCGATCGGGTGTCTATGTTGCAAAATCATTTAATATTTTTTTAGTATTTTCAAATTACGACGAATATTTTCGAATGTTCGTCGACAAT